CTGGCCGTCGGAGGCTCCACTGGGTGCCAGGAGGAAAAGTCCCAGTGAAGCCAGGTGGACGGCGAAGCCAGATCTCCTCGTGCAGGCTACCCTGCAAGAACGCAGTGCTGAAGTCGAGAGAGTGAAGCTCGTAGTCGCGCTGAGCGGCTATGTGCAGCAGCACCCGAAGAGTAGTCATCTTCGGGGTGGGAGAGAAGGTCTGAAAGTAGTCAACTCCCTGCCGCTGACTGAAGCCACGAGCAACGTACCGTGCCTTGAAGACAGGTGGAGAGCCCGGCGGCCGCTTCACCCTGAAGATCCACATGCCACTGACGATGTTCGCCCCAGGAGGGGGAACCGCGTCAACGTAGGTGCCTGTGGACTTCCAGGAAGCCATCTCTGCATCCATAGCTGCCTGCCACTGAGAGGAGTAGGGACCCTCTACGGCCTCCGCGTAAGAACGCGGAGTCGGGATGTCTAGTGCATCCGGGTCTCCCTCAGGGGCAAGCAGTACAGACGCGAGATGAGGTGAAGCAGCCGCTAGATACTGTAACTCCTCCTGCCTGTCCTCTAGGACGTCCGTGCCAAGAGCACACTCACCCCCGACGGACGGAGGACAGACAGACGCAGACTCAGCAACAAGACTAGCAGCGTAGTCGAGACGACAGCGAGCAGCAAAGTCGACGAGCTCAGCGACAAGGGCAGACGCAGCAGTGGACTCAAACGAGGGGTCAGTGACGACAGTAGCAAGGAGACGCGTGACAGTAGGACTGGCAGCACGAAGAGAGTCCGACTGAGGGTCCGCAAGCACAGGAAGAGAGGAATCAGGAGGAGAAGGCAAAGGGGCACGCAGAGGAGCAGTGGACGGACGCAAAGACATCCGGTGCGTGCCAGGGACAGGAGGAGGACGCTGACGCGAACTGCGACCACTAGCGCGAGCAGTGCGAACAGGCGACGCGGGACGAGACGCAGGCTCACGACGCTCAGCAAGACCTCCAGTAGGACCAGTGTAAGGAGAGGGAGCAGGCAGTGGAGAGGAAGGCTCCAGCAGGGACTGCGACTGGACAGGCGGTGGACCCTCTACAGGAGGAGAAAGTGTCAAACATCATATATGTTATGCTTGTGTAGGCTACAGTGGGTTAGCCTATAGGGGGTACACAATTCTAGGGTTTCCCACTTGTACTCATTTTCACTGCTAGTTCATCCATTCCTGTTCGCTTATTCTCACATGGAATCAGAGCAGGTCCCTTCCTAGGGCCTGTTCCTAGGGCCCACCGAAGCGCGCCCCGAGGCGCGCATTTTTTTTAGCGACCCTCCGAGTCGCCCCTCCCGTCGTGCTCCCGCTTAGGCCCCTCGTCGGCCCCCCGCTTAGGCCCCTCGTCGGCCCCCCCGCTTAGGCCCCTCGTCGGCCCCGCTTAGGCCCCTCGTCGGCCCCGCTTAGGCCCCTCGTCGGCCCCGCTTAGACCCCTCGTCGGCCCCTACTTAGGCCCCTCGTCGGCCCCGCGTACCCCTCGTCGGCCCCGCGTAGGCCCCGCGTACCCCTCGTCGGCCCCGCGTACCCCTCGTCGGCCCCGCGTAGGCCCCGCGTACCCCTCGTCGGCCCCACGTAGGCCCCGCGTAGGCCCCGCGTACCCCTCGTCGGCCCCGCGTAGGCCCCGCGTACCCCTCGTCGGCCCCGCGTACCCCTCGTCGACCCCGCGTACACCTCGTCGGCCCAGCGTACACCTCGTCGGCCCCGCGTACACCTCGTCGGCCCCGCGTACCCCTCGTCGACCCCGCGTACACCTCGTCGACCCCGCGTACACCTCGTCGGCCCCGCGTACACCTCGTCGGCCCCGCGTACACCTCGTCGGCCCCGCGTACACCTCGTCGGCCCCGCGTACACCTCGTCGGCCCCGCGTAGGCCCCGCCCAGGCCCCGTCTCGGCCCCGTGTCGGCCCCGCGTAGGCTCCGTCGGCCCCGCTGCAGCAGCCGAGCCGCCCCACCGCCGAGCCGCCCTGCACCCGAGCCGCCCAGCAGCCGAGCCGCCCTGCCGCCGAGCCGCCGGGTCGCTGAGCTGCTGAGCTGCAGTTGCTGCCGAGCCGCCCTGCCGCCGAGCCGCCGAGTCACCGAGCTGCTGAGCTGCAGTTGCTGCCGAGCCGCCTTGCCGCCGAGCCGCCCGAGTCGCCCGAGCTGCCGAGCCGCTGAGTCGCCGAGCCTACTCTTCCCACCACTGGTGAGCTCTTGCCCTGCTAGCACGCTGCGCGTCGCCTGCTTGCCTGCCTGCCTGCCTTTTGGCTTGCCTGGCTGCCTGCCTCCCTGCTGCTAGTCCTGCTCCTGCTTCTACTTGCGGAGCCAAATGCAGCCCCAGCGACGCCGGCGTGAGTCCCTCACGCCCCAGCAGCTGCGTGAGTGGTATGCTGGTTGGGGCTGTAGGGGTGGCGACGCTACTCCTACTACCACTCCTGCTGCTTCTACTCGTGGTGGCGGCCAGATGCAGCTCCCGCGACCCTCTCGCGTGTCTCTCACGCCTCGCCAGCTTTGTGAGTAGAGTGTCCACAGCCTGTCCAGTCGCAGTCACTGTTGGAGCCTTCCTCTCCTCTGCCTGCTCCCTCTCCTTACACTGGTCCTACTGGAGGTCTTGCTGAGCGTCGTGAGCCTGCGTCTCGTCCCGCGTCGCCTGTTCGTGCTGCTCGCGCTAGTGGTCGCGGTTCGCGTCAGCGTCCTCCTCCTGTCCCTGGCACGCACCGGATGTCTCTGCGTCCGTCCACTGCTCCTCTGCGTGCCCCTTTGCCTTCTCCTCCTGAGTCCTCTCTTCCTGCGCTTGCCGACCCTGAGTCGGAGTCTCTTCGCGCTGCCAGTCCTACTGTCACGCGTCTGCTTGCTACTGTCGTCACTGACCCCTCTTTTGAGTCCACTGCTGCGTCTGCTCTAGTCGCTGAGCTCGTTGACTTTGCTGCTCGCTGTCGTCTCGACTACGCTGCTGGTCTTGTTGCTGAGTCTGCGTCTGTCTGTCCTCCGTCCGTCGGGGGTGAGTGTGCTCTTGGCACGGACGTCCTAGAGGACAGACAGGAGGAGTTACAGTGTCTAGCGGCTGCTTCACCTCATCTCGCGTCTGTACTGCTTGCCCCTGAGGGAGACCCGGATGCACTAGACATCCCGACTCCGCGTTCTTACGCGGAGGCCGTAGAGGGTCCCTACTCCTCTCAGTGGCAGGCAGCTATGGATGCAGAGATGGCTTCCTGGAAGTCCACAGGCACCTACGTTGACGCAGTTCCCCCTCCTGGGGCGAACATCGTTAGTGGCATGTGGATCTTCCGGGTGAAGCGGCCGCCGGGCTCTCCACCTGTCTTCAAGGCGCGGTACGTTGCTCGTGGCTTCAGTCAGCGGCAGGGGGTTGACTACTTTCAGACCTTCTCTCCCACCCCGAAGATGACCACTCTTCGGGTGCTGCTGCACATAGCCGCTCAGCGCGACTACGAGCTTCACTCTCTCGACTTCAGCACTGCGTTCCTGCAGGGTAGCCTGCACGAGGAGATCTGGCTGCGCCGTCCACCTGGCTTCACTGGGACTTTCCCTCCTGGCACCCAGTGGAGCCTCCGACGGCCAGTCTATGGTCTCCGCCAGGCACCGCGTGAGTGGCACGACACACTGAGGACTACGCTTGCGGCTCTTGGGTTTCCTCCTTCTACTGCTGACCCGTCGCTGTTTCTGCGCACCGACACTTCACTGCCGCCGTTCTACATCCTCGTGTACGTCGACGACTTGGTCTTTGCCACAGCGGACACTGCTGGACTCGCCTACGTGAAGTCCGAACTGCTGAAGAGACACACGTGCACAGACCTGGGTGAACTGCGCAGCTACCTTGGCTTGCAGATCACTCGGGACAGAGCACGCCGCACCATTACCTTGACTCAGTCACACATGGTGCAGCAGGTCCTTCAGCGCTTCGGCTTCACGTACTCCTCGCCTCAGGCCACTCCTCTGCCTACTCGCCACTCACTCTCAGCTCTGCCTTCGGATGAGTCCGTAGAGTCGAGTGGTCCGTATGCAGAGCTTGTTGGCTGCCTCATGTACCTGATGACCTGCACACGACCTGACCTTGCATACCCTCTGAGCATTCTTGCACGCTATGTTGCTCCTGGGAGACACAGACCAGAGCACATGGCTGCAGCGAAGAGGGTATTGCGCTACCTGTGCAGTACGTCGGGCATGGGGCTTGTGCTTGGAGGGCGGAGTCCAGTGGTCCTTACCGGCCACGCGGACGCTTCTTGGGCTGACGACCAGGCTACGCAGCGGTCGTCACAGGGTTACACCTTCAGCCTTGGTTCCGGCTCTGTCTCGTGGCGGTCTACTCGCTCGTCTTCGGTTCTCGGCTCCAGTTGTGAGGCTGAGATCTACGCCGGGGCCATGGCTGCACAGGAGCTTCGCTGGCTCACCTACCTGCTGACTGACCTTGGAGAGCCGCCTCGTTCTCCTCCAGTGCTGTACGTAGACAACAAGGCCATGCTGGCCTTGTGTCGAGAGCAGCGCTTGGAGCACAGAACGAAGCACATTGCTCTCCGTTACTTCCTTGCTCGTGAGCTGCAGCAGCGTGGTCAGTTGCGACTTGCGTACGTGGCCTCTGAGGCCAACACTGCTGATGTGTTCACCAAGGCACTCGCGCCTTGTGACCATCAGCGCTTTTGCACCCAGCTGGGTCTTGTACCTGTCTTGCCTCACTTGCTCTCCTCTTGACTTCACTTGTACTGTGACATATATATATACCTGCTCTTGCTTGTCTAGTTTTATATATATGTCTGTACTCCTGCATGTGAACTGGCCTCTGGCCTTGCTCTTGTGCTCGGACTGTGTGGTGACTTTGTGATCCACCCTGAGCTTGCTTTGCTTTGCTTGACTGGTGTTGTGACCCCTAGTTCTCCCCCACTTTGCCTATGGGGGTGTGTCAAACATCATATATGTTATGCTTGTGTAGGCTACAGTGGGTTAGCCTATAGGGGGTACACAATTCTAGGGTTTCCCACTTGTACTCATTTTCACTGCTAGTTCATCCATTCCTGTTCGCTTATTCTCACAGAAAGACCCAGAACGTGCTGCAAGAGCGGAACGAAGTACGGTCGAGGCCGCGCGGCAGCTCCAGACTCAGCAGGGACAGCACCAGCACCCTCAGCGACAGCACCAGCACCCTCAGCGACAGCACCAGCGCCACCCACACCTCCAGCGGCAGGACCAACAGCAGTAGACTCAGCACCAACGCCCTCAGCAGCTCCAGCTCCAGGAGGACCTGCAGGTCCAGCAGCTCCGGGACCGGCAGCACCCGCACCCTCGACGGTCGAAGAAGCTCCAGCTCCAGCTCCAGCAGCACCTCCAGACTCAGCAGCACGCCTCCAGCGGCGAGCGAACCACTCACGCAGCTCCTGTGGAGAGAGGGGCTCCCGGCGAGACGCAGCAGCAGGAGAAACCCCAGGCTCAGCAGCTCCAGACGCAGCACCCCCAGGCTCAGCAGCTCCCAGCTCAGCACCCCCAGGTGCAGCAGCTCTCGACCCAGCACCCCCAGACCCAGCACCTCCAGGCACAGCACCCCCCGGCTCAGCACCCCCAGGCTCCGCACCCTCCGCAGTAGCACCCTCAGGCCCAGTACCCCCAGCAGTAGTACCCCCACGCTCAGCACCCCCGCGTACAGCACCCCCAGAGTCAGCACCCCCAGGCTCAGCACCCGCAGCAGCACCAGAGTCACCAGTAACCTCGACCGGGTCAACGGCGTCTACCTGGGACACACCTGAGGGGGCAGGAACCTGAGGGGGGAGGGGGTCTACTGGGGGGGGAACCGGCACAAGGAAGTCCGGGGGAGGGGGGAGGGAAGGAGTGCGGTAGGGGAAGAGACGGTAGAAGGGGACTGACTCGTCGAACGTGACGTCCTGGGAGGACAGAACACAACGAGAGGAGGGGTGGTAAAACTGCCACCCTGGGGCGTCAGTGGGGAAGCCAAGGAAGACACAAGGAGCAGCACGAGGGGACAGCTTGTCCGCAGACAAGTCGCGGACAAACGCCCAAGATCCCTAGACACGGAACACAGACGCATCGCCAACCTTCCCCGTCCACAGCAAGGCTGGGGACATCGCAGGCCGAGAGACCCGGGGGTGAAGGTTGAGCTGATGCGCCGCGTACCTCACCGCAAACGGCCACAGAAAATGGGGGGCAGCCGCATGCATCATGGACGTACGAGCGACATCCATGACCATGCCAATGCGGCGCTCAGCAATCCCATTTTGCTGTGGTGAGTCCGGAAGCGTGAAGGTCTGGCGGATCCCCCGTGCACGTGAGTAGTCCCGCAGAAGGCGAGAAGAGAACTCTCCGCCTCTGTCAGAGTGCAGACGCAGAACAGGAAAGTCCGAGCCGAAGCTCTTCCTAAGCTGGAGACGAGCCTCGCGGATCCAGTCGATCAGCACCTCAGTGACCTCACCCTTGCTGCGCAAGGGGAGGACTGTGGAGTAACGCGAGTAGTCGTCAACCACCAACAGGAAGTAGCGCTCGTAACCCTGCCCACGGACGGGGGCTGGGCCCCACACATCCATGTGAAGCGTCTGCAGGGGAGCCTCTGTCGGGGGGAAGTGGGAGGAGTGAGGAGTAGCCCGGAGGCGACCCTCGACACAGGGGACACAGGAAGGTCCTGGCCCGGAGGGGAGAGGAGGGAGAGACTGGGGAAGACCAGAGACAAGGACACGGGAAGCCATGCTCCGAAGACGGGGCAAGGAGGGGTGGCCAAGACGGTGGTGCCACAGGAGAGTCTCGTGAGACAGGAGGCGACAAGAACAGGGGGCAGACTCAGGACCTGACCGGGACGCAGCAGCAAGCACCTGACCCGACGCAGCCACCTGACCAGACGCAGGGACAGGAGGAGACTCAATGGTCAGGGTGTAGAGACTCGACCCCGGCCGACGCGAGAACGTGGCCAGGTGTCGGCCTGTGCGTGCGTCCGTGCAGTGGGTCACCCGCTGACTCGCAGGAGTGAACTGGTGAACCCCCACATCCTGCAGGTCCGCTCCACTCACCAAGTTCGTAGAGAACGAGGGAAGGTACAGACCCGACAGGGTGCCCGAAGGGGCAGCCGGACACGGGAGGACAGTGGAGAAGTGAGACAGGACAGGACCCCCAGAGGGGTCAGCAAGGGAGACCGCAACCGGCCGGCAGAGCGGCGTAAGGGTAGTGCGGTCTCGAAAGAAGGAGCGAGAAGCTCCGGAGTCAAGCGTGAAAGTGAGGGAGGACGAGGACGACGCAGTACCTGAGAGCGCAGTCTCACCAGTACCTGAGAGCACAGACGCACTGGCACCTAGAGCAGCAGCCTCACAAGCACCTAGCGCCGCAGTACCAATGCCCGGGTCGGGCTGGAAACAACGGTAACCCTCATTCTCCTCACTATAATCCACAACATACATAGCAGCAAGGATAGCATCAAAATCAAGATCAAAGATCGCTACACCAGCCCTGAGAAGCTCATCCCAGCGAGGGATCTCACTAGCCCCAGGGAACTGCTGACGCCAAGCGTCCGTCAGGCGGCCAAAGCAGCGCTGGGTGGCGTGGGCACCCCCACACTGCTCACCCGCGCGGTCGCCGGAACGAAGAACGTAGGTGCAGGGACCAGTACCCCCACCCCTCTGACGCCCAGCGTACCACTCACGAAGCTGCTGAGGCGGAGGGATGTCCCGCGAGCGCTGCTGCTGCTGCCGCTGCGAGCGCTGGCCACCACCACCGCCGCTACGCTGCTGGGTACCACCTCGACCAGCTCCACCTCCTCCACCACCACCGCCTCCTCCGGTGCCGCCTCCACCGCCTCCACCTCCGCCGCCTCCCCCACCGCCGCTGCCTCCACCACCACCGCTGGCACCACCACCACCGTCTCCGCCACTGCTGCCACCACCACCACCACCCCCGCCACTAGTCCCGCCGCCACCCCCACTCCCTCCGCCGCCACCGCCGCCACCGCCACCGCCCCCTCCAGCTCCACCCGCGCCCTTGCCCCCCTTGCCCTTGCTGGAGCGACGTCTCCCACTAGGGGCAGACGCCGCGCCGACCGACTCAAGACCAAGCAGGTCGGCAGCAGCAGCAGAGGCAACAGAGGGCAGCAAGGGGGAAGGAGAGCACCCCTCAAAGATGGGGGTGCGAGGGTCACCACGAGAAGCACCTACAGCGACTATGCTCTTCTCCGCTGCGAGGAGGGCCTTCTCGAGGAGGTCGACGGTGAGGGTGGTGGGACAGACTGCGAGAAAGTGGTCCCTGACGACGCGAAGGGAGTCAGGGAGGCGCGCGACTACGTAGTAGAGAGCGATGTACATGGGGGGGGGGTTCTTAGCGCAGAACTCAGCAGGAAGGGCGGCGCGGTAGCGAGTGTCACTAGTGCGGAGGTGAGTAATGAGGTCAGCGACAGTGGGAAAGGCAGAGAGGTCAGGAAAGAGGTAGGGAAGCATGAGACGGCTCAGTGCAGCAGTGGCAGGGGAGGAGTAGCGCGCAACTACAGCGTCGTACAAGGTCTGAGCACTCTTGTACTGACTAAAGTGCGCACGCTCAGAGGTAGGGAGGTGGCGACGCACAGCAAGACGTGCAGCAGCATCGCGGGTGGCCCACTTAGAGCGGACAGTGGGATCAGCATCAGCAGCAGGAGCAGGAGAGGCGCCAGAGGTGAGGTCAAAGAGAGAAAGGTCGTCAGCCCTGTCGCACTTTAAGAACAGCTGCAGGTCGTCTAACCAGACCTCAAAATCAATGGCGCGACCCTCAGCGTCAAAAGCTAGGACACTAGGGGTAGCCATGGCGACGACAGCGACGCAGTGCAAGCAGTAGGGAAAGAGCTCGCAGTGTCAGTGGGACTGTGCTCACCAGGCAGGGCAGGTCGTGCAGCTCTGCAGAAAGGCGGCTCAGCGACCGGGCGGCTCGGGTGCACAGCGGCTCGATGGCTGGGCGGCTGGGGCGCAGGGCGGCTCGGCTCCCGGACGGCTTGGCGGCTGGGCGGCTCGGGTGCAGGGCGGCTCGGCTCCCGGGCGGCTCGGCGGCAGGGCGGCTCAGGTCCCGGGCGGCTCGGCGTTGGGCGGCTCGGCTCCCGGGCGGTTCGGCTGCGGGGGCGGCTCGGCCGGGAGATGCAGGGGCGGGGCGGTCAGGTGCAGCGGCGGGTCGACCGGTGCAGTGGCGGGCCGGCAGGTGCAGTGGCGGGCCGGCAGGTGCAGCGGCGGGCCGGCAGGTGCAGCGGCGGGCCGGCAGGTGCAGGCGGCGGGCCGTAGGGTGCAGCGGCGGGCCGTAGGGTGCAGCGGCGGGGCCGTCAGGTGAAGCGGCGGGCCGCTGGGTGCAGCGGCGGGCCGGCAGGTGGAGCGGCGGGCCGGCAGGAGCAGCGGCGGGGCCGTCAGGTGAGGCGGCGGGCCGGTAGGAGCAGCGGCGGGCCGTAGGGTGCAGCGGCGGGGCCGTCAGAGGCGGCGGGCCGTAGGGTGCAGCGGCGGGCCGTAGGGTGCAGCGGCGGGCCGTAGGGTGCAGCGGCGGGGCCGTCAGAGGCGGCGGCGGGCCCGCGGCAGTGGAGGCGGGGCCGCGTCAGGGGAGGCGGCGGGGCCGCGTCAGGGGAGGCGGCGGGGCCGCGTCAGGGGAGGCGGCGGGGCCGCGTCAGGGGAGGCGGCGGGGCCGCGTCAAGCAGGCGGCGGGGCCGCGATCAGGAGAGGTGGCGGGGCCGCGTCTGAGGGACAGCGGGGCCGCGAGGGAAAAGGCGACCCGAGGGGTCGCTAAAAAAAAAGGGCGCGCCTCGGGGCGCGCTTCGGTGGGCCCTAAAAAAACGGTCCTAAGGCAGGACCCGCTCTATACCATGTGAAGCAAGGAAAACAGGAATGAAATGACTAAGGAAAGGTTGGGTACAAATACAACCCTAGAAACCCTGTACCCCATATGTGCTACCCCACTATAGCCTACAGCAACTATGTCATATAAATCTGACAGGGTGCGCTTATAATTGAGTCAGGTTTATAAGCGCATGTGCTTGTATAAAGGGAAAAATGAAAATCAATTTTGAACACACCATTGTGAAGCTCTCAATAAGGGCATGTTCCTACGGCCCCTTATCAGGCCAACCTCTTATCAAGCTCGCTACTTTTACCACTGAAATTTTCCTAAACCCGAAAACCCTCGCTACTTTTACCAGGCAAGGCTGATAAGAGGTTTGCCTGATACGAGCGTAGGAACATGCCCTAAGGCGAATTCAACCGACCATGCACCAAGTGGGATCGTGCATGGTTTTCAGGCAGAAACCGCAGCGGTTCGGTTTCCCACCGCACAATGTTGTCTGGAAACATCGAATGTGACAGCCGTGACGAGGATGTTGTCGTGCGGCCCAATCAGAGTCGCATGCGCTGCGTGGCATTTGCATTCGGGCAGAACCATCTTGAAGGTTCAGCAAGATTCCATGCCAGCGCAGCGTAGATGCTGCCACGCAGGCGCCTCTACGGGAGTGGGCGGGGGTTTCCTGCCTGTCATCGACGAGGAACCCAAGCCGCCACGCAGCAGGGATCCCCGTCGTTGCCCATTTCTTCACCCTCGTCTCTAATTTTTTCATTCAGTTTCCTGTCCAGCCCGCCTGGCAGGCGAAGCCATGGCGGAATTTAGTGGGACTTACATCCTCTTCAAGAAGAAACCACGCCGCACATGGCGACTTACCGAGGACGGGTGGTATATCCGTGAGCCACCAGCGCCTCCAGTGCCACCGGATCCCCCTCCACCCCCTGCTCCTCCTGCTCCCCTTGCACCCCCTGCTCCACCCGCTCCTCCCGCACCTCCCGCTCCTCCAAATCCGCCTGCTTTTGCTACGGTAGGTGCTCACCAACGACCCGTGCTCCAACTGTATTTACCAGCCACGTTCGACGAATGGTTGGCTGAAGCGGACACACCCAAGGCCCCCGATGCACGCATCCAAGCTCCAGCGACTGCACCACGGTGGGGACAACCAGAAGTCTGCGCGTGGGATGAGTCGGCTGTGGGCGCCGACGATGATGTGGCTACCGACAAACATGACAGCGGCGCCAGCGAAGCTGGAGGCGACGGTGAAGCTGGTGGCGACGGTGCAGCGGGCGACGAGGAAGACGTGTTCCCCGACCGTGACGAGGACGAGGACGGTGTGGAGTCCTGGTGGCGCGACGCACCACGCGCGAAGATGCCGGTACCGACGTATCCGCCCCTTAACAAAAAACGCCCCCACCCGTTTACCGAGAATCGAGATGCCCGCCCCCCCTCCCCCAGGCACAAGCTGAATCAACATAAGCGGCAGTGCTACACCGCCCAGGAGAAGTTGAGGTGGCTCGTGCGGCTCAAGCTTGCGGCTTCGGTGAGCGAAGTGGCGCGGGAGTCAGGCATACACCGAAAATGTCTGACAGAATGGAAAGCCCAAGCGGAGGCGCTCAAGGCTGCACATGGAGCACGGATGCGACTTCACGGGCGCGGGAGGTCGTCTTGGTACCGCCCCATGGAGTTAAAGGTGTACGCGCAACTCCTCGACTGGCGACGCCGCGGAGTTGCGGTTTCGGTCGGCCGGCTGCAAGAGTGGTCCAAAGAAGTGATGAAGGTTCTATACCCGGACGTCAAGTGGAAAGGCAGTCAGCGGTGGACGGAGCGGTTCCGCAGGCGGTGGAACCTCAGCGTGCGCATGAAAACAAAGGTGGCGCAGAAAACACAGGAGCGTAAGTGGGTCGTTTACTGCTGATTTTGGTTTATCCCGATTACGCTTAGTTTTTTTTTTCGCATCTCTCCTGTGCGTCATACTAATTTGGTTTACTATATGTACTTTTCTCCCTGTTCCGCAGACGTGGCTGAGCAGTGCAAGGATTTTTGGCAGTACGTACGTGACGCCCGGAACGAATACGACATTGACAACCGCTACATCATCAACGCCGACCAGACACCGCTGTGGTTGGAGATGCCGGCGACGACCACCGTGGAGCAGACGGGCGTGAGGTCGGTGCCCATCCGCAGCGGTGGGTACCAGAAGGAGAGAGTGACCGTCATGCTTGCGTGCACGGCGACACGCGAGAAGCTGAAGCCGTGGGTGTTTTTCTAGCGCAAGACACTCCCCAAGGGTGACTTCCCGAACGGTAAGTGATCGTCGCGCGTGTTTATTCCCGTTACTACCTGAGTCGTCAACCGTTCTTTTTCGTTGCGTGCAGATGTTGTGGTCGGCTGCCAAGCGAACGGGTAGATGGAGGCCGCAGGCGTCATCGAGTGGCTCAACACGGGCGTGGTGCCGTTCCTGAAGCCGAAATTCGGCCTGCAGAGTCGTAGCGCCATGCTGGTGCTCGACTCGTATCGCGGTCACCTGACACCAGAAGTCAAGGCGAGATTCGCGGCGCTCAACATCGTGCCTGCTATCATTCCGGCGGGTTGCATGGCAGACCTGCAGCCCCTCGATGTGTCGATCAACAAGAGCTTCAAAGCAAGCATTCGTCAGCAGTACCAGAATTGGTTTGAGGAGGACGGCATGAACATCCTGACCCCGGCAGGTGAGTGACGGCATGTGCTCCCGTCTCCAAATCTTGAGCTTGAATGCATGTTTACTTATCTCATGTTTTCCCCGCCCCACTCCGTGTGATGTAGGGAACATCAAGAAACCACCTCCGGAGGTGGTGCTCAAGTGGATTTCACGGGTCTGGAAGGCGGTGCCCGCCGACCTCATCAAGAAAGCCTTCCTCACTTGCGGCATCAGCAACGCCCTTGATGGGAGCGAAGACAAACTGGTGCTGGCGCATCGAAGGTGCCAGTTGTCCCATGAGGTGGAGGTGGACGACGACATCCAGGCAGATGGGTTCTGGGGCAACAACTCCACGGAGCCTGAGTCGGACGAGGAGGAAGAATAGGCAGTAGGGTAGACTAGACAGGTTGAAAGGTGTGTAGTGCAGGACAGCAGAGACCACCCTTGTATGTGATTGTCAAACTTAATGGAAAGTTTAAAACATGTAGGCTAGGTAGGTAAAAAAATGATATTCTTTTTTTTTTTAACTAAAAGGGTGCGCTTATAATAAGTCAAGATTTCCAAAGGGGTGCGCTTATAATTGAGGATCGGCCATAAGCGCATTGCTCCAGATACAAGCGCATGCGCTTAACATAGGCCTGCGCTTCTATCCGGGGCCATACGGTACGAGGTTTCCTGATATGAGGCCGTAGGAACACGCTCTAAGTTTCCCCCAGACTAGATGAGAGCTCCCCTAACCTCCTCGTGGCTCCGCCTTCCGAAGCAGCGCACATGGGGTGGAAGTCTTCCGCCAAGGGCTCGTTTTGGTCTTACGCGAAACGGAACGTTTTCTTCAGAACTAATTACGGTTCAGTGAGACTAATTTCGCAACTTCACCAATAGCAAACAAGGAGGGTCGTAGGTGTTGGCGGGGGCTGGCGGAAGTACGGTTTGAAACATCACCTGTGGTTGGATCCAGATTGTGCGGAGCAGAGGGGGATCACTGTATTCGCGTTATAATAAACGTAAGTACCCGTGTAGTATAAACGGCAAAATACATTAAACAGGTGAAAAAAAATCCCTTGCAATGTACATTCACCTCTCCAACCAAAGCTCTCTATATGGAGCTGGTAATATCATATTGACCAGCAACAGTATGAGTTGCTTGAACAAAACGAGAAATAGGGAGGGGGGGGGGAGGTGGGGGGGAACGAATAAGTTGGTGATTACTACTATGGCACCTACTATACTGATCCTTTCGAAGTGGCGTCAGGAGAGGCGACTTTGCTCCTGGATCTAGCAGAATCTCCTGAAATTGATTACTTCTTTGCGTAGTGCTTCCGCATATGCCCCCCCAGAGCCTGGCCTGTAGGGAACGCCCTGTCGCACCTGCTGCACTTAAACTTATTCTCAACCCCTCCTCCAACCCCTTGCCAAGCCCTATCCATCCCTTGGCTTTCACTCCAGGGAGCCAGCAAGCTACAATCATCATCAGGCCCGCTCACAAAAAACGGTCTGTTGTCAAGCAGTTCTGCAACTTTTTGGGTGAGCGGGCTGACAACCCCTGGCAGTGGGTACTCATGCTGCTCTGGAAGTTTGTCGAGTGAGTTCCCAACACTTGGCATCTTAATCGTGGAAACATTTGCACCGATGCCTGCAGTGAACTCTGCTGCGGCTTCAGCATTGGCATCAGCAGCAGCAAGAGCTGCAATCTGAGTGGCAAGTTCGTCACCACAGACAGGTGCAAGGCGACTCCACCTCCTTCCCATGCCGCGCTCCGAATAACACCCTGTGGAGAACATTGCACCTTGCTGAGCTGGCAGTGCCGCGTCAGCAGCAGCAGACGCCATGGATTCAGCCAGGGGGTCGAAAACGTTCCGGGAGTGCGGTGGGGTGTGAGGTGAAGGAAGGAGCCAGTCATCGCCTTGGCCACCCCACGTCTTGGACCGCTTCCTGCTGTCGAAACGAGCCCCATCTGCTGCAGAGCCGGCAGCAGCAGCAGTGGAAGCCGCAGCAGCCGCACCAGCTGTCGCAGCAGCAGGATGGGCAGTAGTAGCAGCAGCAGTATGGAACGATGCCCACGAGCGGGAGCGCACCTGAGGAAATAGAGAGGCACTCAGCGAGTCACACCCACTTTGACCGTACAGCCTGGAGTCCGTTCCCCAGGCTCGGGAATCTGCTCCCCTGGCTTGAGAATCCGCTCCCCAAGCTCGGAAATCTGCTTTCCAGGTTCGAGAATCTGCTCTCCAGGCTGGGGAATCTGCTCCCCAGGCTCGAGATTCCACCAACCGGGCCTTCCTGCTCGCACCCTGCTCCTCCTCCATCTGTTTCTGCCACAGGCGAATCTCTGACAGCAGGTCCTTCCCCACTCCAGTCTGCTGCAACTGTTCCTGAGTCGCCTCAGAAGTCTCTGTTAGAAGGCTTCTTCCCACAGTGACTTGCTGCCGGGGTGGCGGCATCACAGCTACTCCCTTACTTGAGATGCTGAGGCACTGCTGGGAGTGCAGCTCTTGTGAATCGTCCTGCTTCCTGGATGAGCCAGCAACATGCTGCTGACTAAGTTGACCACGCTCACCACCTTGACCACGTTGACCAAGTTGACCGGGCTGGCTATCACCTTGACCGAACGGGCCTGCCTGATCCGCTTGGTTGGGCAACAAACGCCCAAAAACTGTTGACCGCTGTTGACCAACGTCAAGCTGACACCGCCTTCCCTCTCCAACAAAACCAGGTGCATTCAGGTCCAGCCCTCCCTCCTCAACGCCTCTTTTTCCAACGCCTCTATTTCCAACCCCTCTTTCCCCACCCCCTCTTTCCCCACCCCTTCTTTCCCCACCCCCTCTTTCCCCACCCCCTCTTTCCCCACCCCCTCTTTCCCCACCCCCTCTTTCCCCACCCCCTCTCTCCCGATCCCCTCCCTCCGCAGCCCCTCTCTCCCCAGCCGTCTCCTCAGCAGGGTCGTTTAGGTCTGGGAGTTCACGCCGCGCTGACTTGGCCCCAACCTTCCCACTCCACCCACTCCTTCCGCACATCCCACTCCTTCCACTCCATCCGCTCCTTCCACTCCATCCACTCCTCCCACTCCACCCATCCCCCCAGCTCCTTGCACCCATCCCTCTCACGCCACTGCTCCCCCTCCTCCCCATCGCCGCATGCGACCCCCTCTCAGGTGCCGCCTTCCAGCCCCAATCTAAGGCGAGTTCCCCCGGCGACACGTCATCTTCGCCCAAGCCTTCAGCCACCCCAGCAATCCCTGCTGCCCCAGCAGCCGCCCAAGTTGGCCCAGCTGGTGCAATTACGTGCCCAGCCGCCCGCTTCGGCTGAGCTGATCCAGCTATGTAAGCCTCTCCACCGGCAGCAGAGGCAGCAGCGGCAACACGAGGACCAGCATCAGCAGCAACAGCAGAAGCAGCAGCAGCAGAAGCAGCAGCAGCAGGAAGAGCAGCAGCCGCAGCAGCAGCCGCAGCAGCAGCCGCAGCAGCAGCAGCGCCGCCGCCACCATTAGCGGAGTTGGCGGAGATCCCTAGGGACGCTCGCGCCTGCGTAGCTGTGGAAAAGAGGCTGCTGGTCCACCCCTCACCTATGCTCTGATGGACAGCCGCCCCTGGCCGCGGAGAGGGGGGCATTGCGCGGAGCAGGTGCTTCTGATTCTGAGAAGCAGCAGAGGGTCCCTCCCAGGGGGAGGAGTGCGCGAGCTGGGCGGCAGAGCTGGTAAACAGCCCACTGCCCGTGGTCGACAGGGTGGCGGCGGGCGGCAGCATTGCGCTGAACGTTTTTGGTGGCTGCCCGCCAAAATCGACGGCGAAATCAACAGCGGCGGCAACAGAGTGTTGACCTGTGGGGTTTGGACTGTCACCATGTGAAGGTTGCGGCTCGCGATTCCCAAAGGCCACAAAACGCGGCACATTTAAAATTCGCTCCACTTGGGAGTATGCACCCGCAGGTGCGGCGACGACGACGACTTGCCGAGTGTTACTAGCGGCCATAGCCGCAGCCTGTGGGTCATTGCTAGCCGCTGCCATGGCTTCCATGCAGTGGACAGCGTCTGAAGTGATGTTGACAGCATGTGACGTCAAACTCACAACAGGAGGAGGTGAGTTACTAGTACCGCCTCCGGCTGCTGTGGCTGCTGCTGCTCCGAATAGGAACTCCGCCAGGCTGCTCGCGCCGCGTTTGGAACCCATTCTGATGCGACCAGGAGCGGCGTTGACCACGTTTACCTACACATTGGCCACGTTGACCTACGCATTGACCAACAGGTTGGCCGCGTTGACGATGCCACACGCGAAGGAGTGGATGTGCGAGAAGGTGGCGAAATAGTGGTTGGAATAGTAATGGCTTTCTGAGGGGTGTGTAGTCGCTACTGGAGGTATCCGAGAGCTACTGGTGCAATAACAGCTTGTCACAACCACAAAGAAAGCCGGAGAATTTGAAGAACAGCGTACGTCCGAACGCATTTGAGCCGCCGTAACAGGAATAGTAGGTGTGACGAGTTTTGAGACGTCGTAAAAAGGCTGTGAGCGCACACAGCTAATCTGAGAGGACTCCGGCATGGTGAGATTTTTGACAGCGTGGCAATGCGGCGTTGACGGCCCGTCCAGCCTCCAACAGAAGGATGAACCACCCCCCCACGTGCTTGATTCTCCCACACTCTGCTCCCGCCAGCTTTCCGGCGAGTCGCTTTGAACCATCCTAATGCGCAAGTAATCTCCAGATCTTCAATATCACGCCAAGGCCCCGGGCCTTGGCAACAAAGGCGAGCGCACACATGATGTTGATGATGATGCGCTGATGATGCGCACATGACGCAACGGGACTATAGGTCTAATCTGGACTACTCTTGGCAAGAGACGGTGATCACAGCAACAATCCCCACCGATGATTCCCAGCCAAGAACCCACTACACCCTCATTCTCAGTCTTCTCACCGGCGGAAACAGTGGCTACAGTGTTTGGACGTAGCGGGCTGGTGAGATAACTCGGTTGCGGGCCAAGTCGCACGAGGCGACGAAACCAGACTTGGGCCGTAAAATTCCGTTAACGCTGAATAGCTGTCTTAACCGTTTAGAAAACAGCAGTAACATTCTAGAACGTATAGAACCTTGACTAAACGCCCTGGGTCAAACTGTCAGTGATAGGACCTTCTTTGGTCCGCTGCGGCTACACTAAGCGTACCGGTCAGTGTAACATATGCCAGTCTAACGAGAATGAGGGTGTATTTGTTTATCTCACCGCACGTTTAGTGTGTCAATGTCATTATTCCCATCCCATGCCCACGAATCCAATCAGGTACTACGTATCCCGACCCCATAAGGAGGTTTGGAGGCTAACGCGGCGGCAAAAAGAACGGGAGAAGTTTTGCGAGCTCCGGAAAAGATGCCACTACTGGTTTCCCCTTCTCTGCGTAGCGACTACATAGTTCTGCCTGGTCACAGCAACTGTACCAGGTGGTCGTCGCAGCTGCGACAACGTGACACACCCGCAACCCGTCCCGTTCAGGCACTCCATTCGCCCAGCATCGTGGCGTGGCTGTACGACGGCTGGCAAGGCAAGTTCAAGTTAAAGTTCGTAGAGATAGCAGCACTGCTCGCAGTCGACGTGACAGTCGAGTGTTGAACGAGGGCTGGAAACGATGCTCTCGGTGCTCGGCTCCTGCCGGACGTCGCTCGGCTCGGACCGAGCCAAGGTTGCAGAGGCTCTCTATCTCCTAGACGATGCAGGATGGCCGTACGATACACATACGTGTAACAGTGACACATTCGCGACGGAAAGAGTTATTATAACAGTGTTGCGACGCGACGACGACAGCCTGGACTAATCGACGAGGTTGGGCACGACAACTGACGAGCAACCAACGCACGAGCTATGAATAGACACTGTGAGGCGATCGCCATATCTGCAAGATACGGAATCCAGAAAAAAAAAAAAAAAAAAAAAAAAAAAAAAAAAAAAAAAAAAACCTGTACAAGTGTTCCCTCCTCGCGCAGTCACTATATGTACAGTGATTGCACGAAGCCAGGAAGCGTCGAAATGTCCAGTGTGTATGCTTGAAGCTCGGGTTTAGTAGGATCACGGCCAGAACAGTCTGAGCGACATAGAAAGTGGCGGCGGAAAGAGGTGGCGGTGGTGGGATAGAGAGAGTACAATACGTGTAGGTGGTTTGAGTACGGGCGTCGGGCAGCAGCACTCACTTCATTCAAGCAGGCTGGCGGGCAGTCATGTGAGAGGAATCGAAGAGGACAAGAAACCACCGACGTGGTGGTACTTGGGGGAAGAGAAGGGTCGCATCGCAGGGTGCGTGCGACCGTGCGAAATAAATGTTCATGATTTCCGTCACGTGGTTACAAGAGCCGTCGAATTCTGAACCATCATAGAGGGCAGATGGCGGTGGGGCAGCACCAGGGCAAGTGGCTAACTCACCTGAACATAAGCCCTGTTTCTCGCCATAGTGGATTCCGGTATAGTGAAGTCAAGAGTGGAAAAACACCTCGAAATGTAGTTAGGACTGGCCAAACAATCTCAATCGATCGGGATCGAATCAGATTGGGTGGGATTGCCCTAATCTGATGCACTCTTTCGATCTCGTCCCGCGCCGCACAATCTGACAGAAGAATCATGTCAAAGTCTGCCAGAACCAGCAATGAGGACTTTTAGAGTCTTGCAGCCGCTGCGCCTCATCTCGTGGCCATGCTGCTTGCCCCTGAGGGAGACCCGGATGCTCCAGACATCCCGATCCCGCGCTCTTACGCTGAGGCGATCGCGGGTGAGTATTCCTCTTAGTGGCAGACAACCATGGTCGCAGAGATGGCATCTTGGAAGTCCATAGGCACTTACGTCGACGCAGTTCCCCCTCCTGGGGCGAACGTAGTCGATGACATGTGGATTTTCAGGGTGAAGCAGTCGCCGGGTTCTCTGCCTGTCTTCAAGGCTCGTTAGGTTGCACAAGGCTTCAGTCAGCAACAGGGAGTTGAGTTCTTCTATACCTTCTCCCCCACCCCAAGGATGACCACTCTTCGTGTTCTGCTTCACGTTGCCGCTCAGCGTGACTACGAGCTTCACTCTCTGGACTTCAGCACAGCCTTCCTACAAGGCAGTTTGCACAAAGAGATCTGACTGCGCCGCCCTCCTGGCTTCACTGGGTCGTTCCCTCCTGGTACCCAGTGGAGCCTCCACCGGCCACTCCACGGTCTCGGTTAGGCGCCTTGTGAGTGGCACGACACACTGAGGACGACACTTGCGGCTCTTGGGTTTGCACCTTCCACTGCTGACTCGTCGCCTGTCGCTGTTTCTGCACGCCGACAATTTGTTGCCGCCGTTCTACATCCTCGTGTACGTCGATGACTTGGTCTTTGCCACTGCTGACACTGAGGCTCTCGCCCGTGTGAAGTCGGAGCTGCAGAAGAGACACACGTGCACAGACCTGGGTGAGCTCCGCAACTACCTTGGCCTGTAGATCACCCGGGACAGAGCACGGCGCACCATCACACTGACTCAGTCACACATGGTGCAGCAGGTCCTTCAGCATTTCGGCTTCACTTAGTCCTCGCTACAGTCCACTCCTCTGGCTACCGATCACTCGCTCTCAGCTTCACCTTCGGACGAGTCCGTAGAGCCGAGTGGCCCGTATCCAGAGCTAGTGGGCTGCCTCATGTACCTGATGACCTGCACTCGTCCTGACCTCGCGTACCCTCTTGGCCTTCTGGCACGCTACATGGATCCTGGTAGGCACCGAAAGGTGCACTGGGATGATGCGAAGATGGTACTGCGCTACGTGTGTTGTACATCGGGCATGGGGCTCGTGCTTGGAGGGCGGAGCTCAGTTGTCCTCACTGGGCATTCAGACGCTTCTTGGATTGACGACCTAGCTACACAGCGGTCGTCATAGGGTTACACGTTCAGTCTTGGCTCAAGCTCTGTTTCTTGGCGGTCTACACGCTCTTCTTCTGTTCTCAGCTCCAGTTGTGAGGCTGAGATCTACGCCATAGCCATGGCTGCACAGGAGCTACGCTGGCTCACCTACCTGCTGACCGACTTGGGAGAGAGGCCTCGTTCTCCTCCAGTGTTGTACGTCGACAACAAGGCTGCCATTGCGTTGTGTAAAGACCACAGACTGGAGCACAGAACGAAGCACATTGCTCTGCGTTATTTCCTTGCTCGAGAGTTGCAGCAGCGTGGTCAGCTTCGTGTCGCTCACGTGCCCACCCGGGCCAACACGGCTGATGTGTTCACCAAGGCCCTTCCAATTGGTGATCATCAGCATTTCTGCGCTGCTCTAGGCCTGGTGCCTACGTTTCCTCACTTGCTGTAGACTCTGGTTGTACTGTGATCTATATATATATATATACCTGCATGTTTACTCTTGCTAGGTAGTGATCACTGTACTGTTGTTGTCGCATATATACCTCTGCGTGTGAACTGGCCTTGTGGCCCCTTTGCTTGTGCTCGGAGTGTGTGGTGACGTTGTGATCCACCCTGATCTTGCTTTGCTTTTCTTGACTGGTCTTGTGACAGCTTGTTCACCCCCACTTTGTCTATGGGGGTGAGTCAAACCATATCTTTGCTAGTTGTGTGTAGGCTATAGTGGGGTAGCCCATGTGGGGTACAAACCAATATTAGGGTTAGTACTTGTACCCACAATTCATTCAATGCAATCATTCCTATCTTGACATGCGAGACCTAGAAGGCGATATCCGATTTGTCAGAATCCTAGCCACTAGACCAGGAGGGTAAAATGACTTGTATAGCGGGTCCATGCGCTTGTATACCCCTATGCGAACGCGTTTGTAACCCTAAAAAAATCATTCAAAGATCTCGAAGTGCGTGCTTACTGACACCCCTAAGTAACAAATCCTTGTCTAGCCTAGGTGGTTTGTCAAACTAAATATTTGTATGTTTATATAATCTATAGTTTTAGGCTGAACTAGTTTTAGTTGTTAATAACGAGAACACTTACGGTATTATTCTATAACCTTGACTTTGGCCTAGTCATCGTTTCATCTCTTTACACCTGCAGCAGCCAGGGAAGCCGCAGCAGAGACAGCAGTTCCAGCACAAGTGGCGCCAGTAGTGGGAGCCTTGTGGTCCGAGGAGTGTCAGCCACAACAGATGGGGGGTTTGTTGCAGTGGTCGCGATGTTGGGACGTGCATTGTTATGCCATATACGGCGATTGAGTGGACCTCCAAGATACAGCTCCAGAGCCCAAGCTGAAACAGTACCCCTCATTCGACCTGCTGGTCCCCTTGTTGCCCACCCAGGACGAGTCGCAGCGCCAAGCAATTCGCACTGGCTGAGTCCCTTCGACCATGAGCCCCTTGCCTGATGTGGTGACAGGTATTTCGCTACCCTCTTAGCAACCATTTAGTGAACCTGACAGTGGCTCCAAGTCGCAACCAAATGAGCAAGGATGATGAGAGGAAAGTCGATGTTTTGTCGTGTACACGTCATCAAGTACATGAGGCAACCCACAAGCACTACGTAGCATGCACCAGGCTCAATTGGCTTGTAAAAAACAGGTGACGTAAGCCTGTGGTCAACTATAAGAGGCGTGGGATATGTGGTGGTGAACTGGAAGACGAAGGTGCACTATGTATGACTGAGTCAGAGTGATAGTGCAAAAAGCTTTGTCCTTGAAATCCTGCAAGCCAAGATAGCTACGCAGTTTTCCAAAGTCAGTGCAGGTTCCGACATAATCGATTCCGAGTACAGTAGTTTCGATTTCACCTCAGCCAGAACAGCTCCGCCTGTAGTAGCGAAGACCAAGTCGTCGACATAGACAAGGATAAAGAAAGAAGTGAACCCAAGAAGAACGAATAGTGACAGGTCAAGTGGAGAAAGATTGAAGCTCAACAAGAGTAGAGCAAAGAGTTTTGTGCCACTCTCGTGGTGCTTGGTGGAGAGCGTAGACTAGTCGCCTTAGGCTCCACTAGGTCCTAGGCGGGAAAGTGCCAGTGAAGCCAGAAGGATGGCGTAGCCAGATCCCCTTTTGCAGGCTGCCCTGGAGGAAGGCGGTGAATAAGTCTAGCAAGTGCAACTCGCAAGAGCACCCAAATAATGGTCCTCCCTGGGATAGGGGAGAAGGGTCTAAAAGAAGCCAATCCCGCTGGCTAGATCATCTGGCCACGTAGCGCGCCTTGAAGATAGGCGGCAATCAAGGCGTTTTATCACTTTGAAGATCCACATGCGATCAGCTGCATTCGCCTTGAGGAACTGCGTTCTACGTTCTTGACTGTGGACCTCCAGAACACCATCTCCGAGTCCATGGCTGCTATCTATTGAGAGTCTTGAGGTCCCAAACCGCCTCAGAGTAAGTGCAAGGACTCAGGATGTCTAGAGCGCCATGGCCTCCATCGCGAGTTAGAAGCATTTCACAGAGATGAAGAGTAGTGTCTGGAAGATATCTAAGCTCAAATTGACTTGTCTCTAGGATGTCACAACAATGGGCAAACTCTAACACAACGAGTTATGGACGGGTAGGAGGAGCAGCCACTAAGCAAGTTGCGTAGTCAACGCGGTAAAGTCAGTGAGAGCGGTGACAAGAGCCGAAACAGACGACGGAGAGGCAGTAAGGTGACTAACAAGAAAGGAGAGGGCACAGGAGACGACAGGAAAAGTGGTTAAAAAAAAGTGATCAGGAAGAGGAGAGGAAGAGTAAGTGACAGATGATGCAAGAGACGATAGGAGAACAGCTGGAAGTGGAACACGAAGAGGAAGAGAAGGAAAAAGAGACTGGAGGCCTGGGATAGGAGATGAGGGACAAGCACCTGGAGAGCAACGGGACTAGGGAGTAGATGCTAGAGAATGGGTTACAGCAGGAGAAGGGAGGGAAGGAGGTTGCAGCAGTGACCAAGGAAGAGAATAAGTTGAAGACGCATCGCGAGGAGGAAACATGGGACCTTAAACAGGAGGAGACGACAAGCGGTCGGGATAAGGGGATGAAAGGTCAAGAGTTTGAAGACCACCAACAAGTGGCGACTACCTCTGCTACTGCAGCAGCTGCTGCTGCTGCTGCTGTTGCTGTGGCCGCCGCTAGAACCTCGTTAGGTATCGAGGGACGGCTGGACACGAGCTGAAGGTGTAGCACCCCCTGAGCCCGTATCTCCAGTGCCAGGGTCGCTAGCTCCAGCACTCCAACTCTAGCACCCAGCGGCTGTACCTCTAGCTCCATAATTTCCACTTAACACGTCCAACGCGATGACTCCTAGAACCAGCACCTCTAGTACCAGCACCCCCAGTGCCAGTAACTCCAGCTCCTCCGACACCTCCATCAGCAACCCCTCTGCCAGGACCCCCAGATACAGCGCCTCCTGTACTAGGAGCTCCGATGTCAGCACCCCTTAAACCAGCACCTTGAGTGCCACTACCTCCAGCTCTAGCACCATCACCTCCAGTACCAGGGACCTGCCACAGTAGCACCGAAGGCTACTGCGGTGACTGTAATTACGACGAAGGGGACTGTGGTGAAGTAGACGACATCAGACGTGCGACTTAGGGGGAGGGGGGGGATGGCATGAGATACACCTGACGGGGCAGGACTTGGGTGGGAGCGAGGAAAAGGGGGGGTGACTTCACGGTTGAGGGGGAGAAAACGGACACCGACTCATTAGACTGTGGTCAGACTTGAGATGGGAAACTTGCAATTGAAATGACTGATTAGAGCTTGACAAACGCATGTAATCAATGCATCTCATCTGGTTTCCCTCCATCCACACCATATACTGCACTGGCTAGTGTGCATGAGAACCTACTCCAATCCGCAGCCAGCTGTTGGTGTTTATTACCCCGACCCGCCATAGTGACTCTGTGTCCTTGACCCACAACGCAGAGCCTTTTGTGGGATTGGGAATTCGCAAAGACTCTCTGGGGCAACACGTACCTCGCTGTCCCCCCGGACATCATGCACATCTGGGAGCAGGGCATATGGTTGCATGCCATGAAGTGCCTTGTGAAGAAGCTGACTCCGAAAGAACGGAAGAATCTTTTGGAGTGAGTTGTTCCGCGCCATGCTGAACCGTTCCTCCCCTCCTTGCTTGCTTTCCGCGCCATGCTGAACCGTTCCTCCCCTCCTTGCTTGCTTTCCGCGCCATGTTGAACCGTTCCTCCCCTCCTTGCTTGCTTTCCGCGCCATGCTGAACCGTTCCTCCCCTCCTTGCTTGCTTTCCGCGCCATGCTGAACCGTTCCTTCCCTCCTTGCTTGCTTTCCGTGCCATGCTGAACCGTTCCTCCCCTCCTTGCTTGCATTTTCCACCATGCTGAACCGTTCCTTCTCTCTAGGCAATACAAGATTTTGAAGGAGGTCACACCAGCTTCCGTACTCCGTCTACCTTCGGCGTGGGCCTACTTTACATCGACTGCCTGCTTTTCAGCTTCAGAGCATCGTGTGATGATGCAGGTCTTGCCTCTCATCATCGATCTCCCAGGACGGAAAGATGTCCGGACGGCAATCGTGCTCATGGTCGAGTGGTACAAGGAGTTTATTCGCGCTGAGTACCACACCGACGATTCCCTAAAACGGATGAAAGATGCCACCATCAGGTAGTCACTCTTGTTGTTGTGTGGGCTCCCAAGCCGTTCATTGCCACATACACCCATTTTCCTCGCATCAACCGTACCTACATGCTCTCCCCCACCCCCCACCCCCTTCCCTTTCATCTTGTTTTGACCCTTTGCATCCCTGTTCTTCCATACCCCACCTGCTTGACCTCCCTCCTGCCCTTTTTTTCCCTTGACTGCATGATTCCTCACCCCCCTTCCCTCGTGTCGTTTCTCCCTTCCTGGCCTGCATTCCACCCCTTAACTGCATGCATGCTCTCGACTGTCTCTCCCCAGCATGGTGAAGGCTCTGCGTGTTGCATTTCCTAAGCAGAAGTCAAAGTGGAAAATAGTGAAAATTCATCTCCTCGTCCACCTCCCGTCAACCATCCGTCTTCGGGGAATCCCTGCGGAGTACTCGTCGAACTGTTACGAGCACTCCCACAAGACCACTGTGAAGCGTCCTTCACGTGGCACGAATTGGAAGAATGTTGAAGATCGCATCGTTCGGAAACACCTGGAGCACGTGGTAGTTAGACAACTAGCGCGGGAGGCCGGCGGGGACAGCACGTACGAGACTTCGATGAAAGAGGTGATTCTTTTAAACCTGCAATGTCCCCCCTGCTCTGTACCCCTGCACACTCTCGTCTGCTTTGTTTCCCTGTTTTATTCCCATGCTCTGCTCTCCTGCTCTAACTCACTGCATGGCTGCCCTGCTCTGCTCTCTTGCTCTGTTCCACTTTTCTGTACCCCTGCTCTGTTTCCCTGCTCTGTTTCCCTTCTCAGTTCTCTTGCTCTCTTCTCCTGCTTTGTTCCCCTAATCCGTTCCCCTCCTCTGTACCCTTTTCTGTTTCCCTGCTCTGTTCTCATCACTGTTTCCATGCTATGTTCACTGATGTGTCTGCCCTGCTCTGTGCCCTGTTCTATTTGCCCTGATTTGGTCCCTGCTCTGTTTGCCCTGCTTTCATCCCTGCTCCGCAACATCCTCCTGTGTTCCCTACTATTTCCCTGCTATGTTCCACTGCTCTGTTCCCCAAGATCTGTTTCCATGCTCTCTGCATGAGTTGGCAATCAGATGCTGGACCAACCTAACCAAAGTAACCGACTCCTACCCTCCATCCCCGTCTTCGTCCCCACAAACTCGCCCCCGTCCCCCCACCCTCATTTCCCCATGGTCCCTAGCCCTCTCCTTCGCCTCCCCCGCATCAATCCCCTCCCCCACCCTCTCTTCCACCCTCCAAATGCCCACACCATTCACCCCACCCCCTCCCTATACCAACCCTCTCATCTTCACGGTGACAGGCATGCCTGGCTGGCCGGAGGGTGCTTACTAAGACCCACTAGAAGATGGTCATTGGAGACATCACCGACTCGGTGTTCCGGAGCTACGTCTTGACGCTGGGTGAACCCGCCATGAGTGCGATGGTTCTGCGCCTCAAACAGGCGGGCATCAACACGCAAGTCTTGCAGGTGCATTCCCCTCTCCTGCTTGCTTTCCACCCCATCCACCCCTGGTTCCCCCTCTCCTGCTTGCTTTCCACCCCATCCGCCCCTGGTTCCCCCTCTCCTGCTTGCTTTCCACCCCATCCACCCTTGGTTCCCCCTCTCCTGCTTGCTTTCCACCCCATCCACCCCTGATTCCCCCTCTCTTGCTTGCTTTCCACCCCATCCACCCCTGGTTCTCCCTCTCCTGCTTGCTATCCACCCCATCCACCCCTGGTTCCCCCTCTCCTGCTTGCTTTCCACCCCATCCACCCCTGGTTCCCCCTCTCCTGCTTGCTTTCCACCCCATCCACCCCTGGTTCCCCCTCTCTTGCTTGCTTTCCACCCCATCCACCCCTGGTTCTCCCTCTCCTGCTTGCTATCCACCCCATCCACCCCTGGTTCCCCCTCTCCTGCTTGCTTTCCACCCCATCCACCCCTGGTTCCCCCTCTCCTGCTTGCTTTCCACCCCATCCACCCCTGGTTCCCCCTCTCCTGCTTGCTTTCCACCCCATCCACCCCTGGTTCCCCCTCTCCTGCTTGCTTTCCACCCCATCCACCCCTGGCTCCCCCTCTCCTGCTTGCTTTCCACCCCATCCACCCCTGGTTCCCCCTCTCCTACTTGCTTTCCACCCCATCCACCCCTGGTTCCCCCTCTCCTGCTTGCTTTCCACCCCATCCACCCCTGGTTCCCTCTCTTCTGCTTGCTTTCCACCCCATCCACCCCTGGTTCCCCCTCTCCTGCTTGCTTTCCACCCCATCCACCCCTGGTTCCCCCTCTCTTGCTTGCTTTCCACCCCATCCACCCCTGGTTCCCCCTCTCTTGCTTGCTTTCCACCCCATCCGCCCCTGGTTCCCCCTCTCCTGCTTGCTTTCCGCCCCATCCACCCCTAGTTCCCCCTCTCCTGCTTGCTTTCCACCCCATCCGCCCCTGGTTCCCCCTCTCCTGCTTGCTTTCCACCCCATCCGCCCCTGGTTCCCCCTCTCCTGCTTGCTTTCCACCCCATCCGCCCCTGGTTCCCCCTCTCTTGCTTGCTTTCCACCCCATCCACCTCTGGTTCCCCCTCTCCTGCTTGCTTTCCACCCCATCCACCCCTGGTTCCCCCTCTCCTGCTTGCTTTCCACCCCATCCGCCCCTGGTTCCCCCTCTCCAGACTGCTGTCCATGCAAACCCTGGCCAATACCCCATTTCCCTTATGCTCTCCACCCCCTCTTTCACTGCTTTCCTTTTTTCTTTGTTGAATGCTCGTGGTGTCAGGTGCACACGGCACTTGCGATCCAGCCACACGATAAGATGGAATGGACGTCAAGGGGGCAGTTCGTCAAGGCTAGCCCAGCCCAGCAAAACTTCTCGTCGATTGCGATCAACCTTGCAGGGAAGGGATCCCCGTGGTATGGCCGTTGCCTTGTGCTGTTTCATTACAACAAGGGTGGTGAGCTGAGGCGAGGCGCATATGTGGAGTACTACACCGAAGACAAGCGACAATGCCCATCGACGGGATGCAAGCCTCTTTTACCCACAGAGGGCGTTGATAATTATGCGGTGATCGATGTAGACTGCATTCTTAGTCTCGTGCACATTGTACCCTCGTGCGAGGACGATGAAGGGAGCCTCCTCAACAGATTTGTATGGTGAGGCCTTTGACCCAATGTGACTGTGGTAAACGTTGATTTTGAAACTAGAATATTGATATTTTTAGGCATTTCTTTAATCTAATAGGTGCAAAATCAATAACCATTGGTTAAATATGACACTTGGAAACCCATGTTCTTAATGGGATTTACAAATTCAAGAAATAATCTTCATAGGTTTTGCTGTAACAAACAATGCACAGAAGTAAAATAGAGACATTTATATCGAGAACAGGTTTACAGCACAAATCTTCCAAGCAAGGAGACCAGCTCCAACCCCTCTTAGTCGTGAAACCCTAATGCTGCAACAACAGGCAAGAAACATTGAGCGGAAACATACGAATAGTGTCTCCAAAACGTCTCAAGAGGGACAAACGATTTTTGTAGGTTTCCTATACGTTTTTCAAACGATTGTCAAACATACGATCGACCTGCGGGAACGTCAGATGATTTTCAAACACACACATTTTTGTGATGTCGCGATGTTGGGACGTGCATTGTTATGCCATATACGGCGATTGAGTGGACCTCCAAGATACAGCTCCAGAGCCCAAGCGGAAACAGTACCCCTCATTCGACCTGCTGGTCCCCTTGTTGCCCGCCCAGGACGAGTCGCAGCGCCAAGCAATTCGCACTGGCTGAGTCCCTTCGACCATGAGCCCCTTGCCTGATCTGGTGACAGGTATTTCGCTACCCTCTTAGCAACCATTTAGTGAACCTGACGATGGCTCCAAGTCGCAACCAAATGAGCAAGGATGATGAGAGGAAAGTCGATGTTTTGTCGTGTACACGTCATCAAGTACATGAGGCAACCCACAAGCACTACGTAGCATGCACCAGGCTCAATTGGCTTGTAAAAAACAGGTGACGTAAGCCTGTGGTCAACTATAAGAGGCGTGGGATGTGTGGTGGTGAATTGGAAGACGAAGGTGCACTATGTATGACTGAGTCAGAGTGATAGTGCAAAAAGCTTTGTCCTTGAAATCCTGCAAGCCAAGATAGCTACGCAGTTTTCCAAAGTCAGTGCAGGTTCCGACATAATCAATTCTGAGTACAGTAGTTTCGATTTCACCTCAGCCAGAACAGCTCCGCCTGTAGTAGCGAAGACCAAGTCGTCGACATAGACAAGGATAAAGAAAGAAGTGAATCCAAGAAGAACGAATAGTGACAGGTCAAGTGGAGAAAGATTGAAGCTCAACAAGAGTAGAGCAAAGAGTTTTGTGCCACTCTCGTGGTGCTTGGTGGAGAGCGTAGACTAGTCGCCTTAGGCTCCACTAGGTCCTAGGCGGGAAAGTGCCAGTGAAGCCAGAAGGATGGCGTAGCCAGATCCCCTTTTGCAGGCTGCCCTGGAGGAAGGCGGTGAATAAGTCTAGCAAGTGCAACTCGCAAGAGCACCCAAATAATGGTCCTCCCTGGGATAGGGGAGAAGGGTCTAAAAGAAGCCAATCCCGCTGGCTAGATCATCTGGCCACGTAGCGCGCCTTGAAGATAGGCGGCAATCAAGGCGTTTTATCACTTTGAAGATCCACATGCGATCAGCTGCATTCGCCTTGAGGAACTGCGTTCTACGTTCTTGACTGTGGACCTCCAGAACACCATCTCCGAGTCCATGGCTGCTATCTATTGAGAGTCTTGAGGTCCCAAACCGCCTCAGAGTAAGTGCAAGGACTCAGGATGTCTAGAGCGCCATGGCCTCCATCGCGAGTTAGAAGCATTTCACAGAGATGAAGAGTAGTGTCTGGAAGATATCTAAGCTCAAATTGACTTGTCTCTAGGATGTCACAACAATGGGCAAACTCTAACACAACGAGTTATGGACGGGTAGGAGGAGCAGCCACTAAGCAAGTTGCGTAGTCAACGCGGTAAAGTCAGTGAGAGCGGTGACAAGAGCCGAAACAGACGACGGAGAGGCAGTAAGGTGACTAACAAGAAAGGAGAGGGCACAGGAGACGACAGGAAAAGTGGTTAAAAAAAAGTGATCAGGAAGAGGAGAGGAAGAGTAAGTGACAGATGATGCAAGAGGCGACAGGAGAACAGCTGGAAGTGGAACACGAAGAGGAAGAGAAGGAAAAAGAGACTGGAGGCCTGGGATAGGAGATGAGGGACAAGCACCTGGAGAGCAACGGGACTAGGGAGTAGATGCTAGAGAATGGGTTACAGCAGGAGAAGGGAGGGAAGGAGGTTGCAGCAGTGACCAAGGAAGAGAATAAGTTGAAGACGCATCGCGAGGAGGAAACATGGGACCTTAAACAGGAGGAGACGACAAGCGGTCGGGATAAGGGGATGAAAGGTCAAGAGTTTGAAGACCACCAACAAGTGGCGACTACCTCTGCTACTGCAGCAGCAGCTGCTGCTGCTGCTGTTGCTGTGGCCGCCGCTAGAACCTCGTTAGGTATCGAGGGACGGCTGGACACGAGCTGAAGGTGTAGCACCCCCTGAGCCCGTATCTCCAGTGCCAGGGTCGCTAGCTCCAGCACTCCAACTCTAGCACCCAGCGGCTGTACCTCTAGCTCCATAATTTCCACTTAACACGTCCAACGCGATGACTCCTAGAACCAGCACCTCTAGTACCAGCACCCCCAGTGCCAGTAACTCCAGCTCCTCCGACACCTCCATCAGCAACCCCTCTGCCAGGACCCCCAGATACAGCGCCTCCTGTACCAGGAGCTCCGATGTCAGCACCCCTTAAACCAGCACCTTGAGTGCCACTACCTCCAGCTCTAGCACCATCACCTCCAGTACCAGGGACCTGCCACGGTAGCACCGAAGGCTTTTGCGGTGACTGTAATTACGACGAAGGGGACTGTGGTGAAGTAGACGACATCAGACGTGCGACTTAGGGGGAGGGGGGGGATGGCATGAGATACACCTGACGGGGCAGGACTTGGGTGGGAGCGAGGAAAAGGGGGGGTGACTTCACGATTGAGGGGGAGAAAACGGACACCGACTCATTAGACTGTGGTCAGACTTGAGATGGGAAACTTGCAATTGAAATGACTGATTAGAGCTTGACTAACATAAGTCAGATTTTATCATATGCATCAACAAAATATCACAAGGCAGTCTAAATTTATACAAAAACGCTTAACGTTACAAATTTGTTGACATCAATGTTCGAGCCCGTAACCTTTCGGTCTACAAACATTTGCGTGGACTAAGACACAGCAGGCTGAATCAGATTGACAGACATTTTTGAAACAAATTCGTTGACTTCGCGGAACAGTTTTAGGACGGAAGGTTTTCGGGAACCACTGTACACTCTTATGAAATTCTCTTTCGGGCCCGTGGACAGATGTGGGACATTTTCGAGAGCCCCTAAAAAGTCTTTGGGGAAGGCCAAAATGGGGGGACCGTCTTGGGACCTCAACTTTTTGGTGATGCTCACAACCCTAAGTATACCCGTCCGTTCCTTAACTGGAGGCCATACTAAATTGTGGCGGTTCGATGGCAAGCAACAGAGTTGAGAAGCGAAGTATGGTGACTGGCGAGGCGTTTCACCCGCCAAAACGTGGCTACTCAGCTCGGGGCGAGCCGAGGTTAGACGCGCTTTCTTCCGTTGATTCCGTATGTTTGAAGTGATGACGGCTGTAAGATATAATTGTGTGGCCTCGCGTCGTGATAGAACGAGCTATTACTAACAGTAGCGACGTGACGTGAGGCTGATGAGCTAGCCAGCGCACGAGCTATGAATAGACGGAGTGATAGCCACCGTCGAGATACGCAACTTGAACGTGAATGCGGTCGAATTCCCGTCCGTAAAAAACTCCTAGCAGTGATAAGATTGGCAGTCTGGCTGCAGTGCACAAAGGCTGGAAGCATCTTGGGTTTACAGCCTTAGGGACGCGGTGCAATCGAAATATTTATAAATGTTGAATTCTGAAAAGGCTCGAGCCAGTTCAGGAAACTTGGTGAGGCTCGACATACTGTGCCTTTGGATACAATAATTTGCTCGGGAATTGCACCGCATAAAAAAAAAAAAAAAAAAAAAAAAAAAAAAAAAAAAAAAAAAAAAAAAAAAAAAAAAAAAAAAAAAAAAAAAAAAAAACTCCGCTGACGAAGATAACGAGTCTAGCGAAATCTTCGGAAAAGAATATCGTTGAGTAATTCATGCGATGCATACAGTGTACGTGCGAACCCAATTTTGATCCCAGAGTCGGTAGGAGCTTCTGTTGGTGCATTTACGAGTTTGACATTCGGCAAACCCGTGCAAGTTTGCCCTAACCTGCTCCAAAGTGATTTCGAATTAAAAACGAAGCTCGCCCTAACAGTTGGACGACTTAACCGCCACATGGTCAACCCCACTCGCAGTCACTCCCACTCTGAAAGAGGTGGTGGCGGTGGGATAGGGAATTGTTGAACAAGAATGGATGAACTAACAGTGAAATGAGTACAAGTATGAAAACCTAGGAATGTGTACCCCCTATAGGCTAACCCACTGTGGCCTAAACAACTACAACAACGTATATAATGATTGACACACCCCCATAGGCGAAGTGGGGGAGAACTAGGGGTCACAAGACCAGTCAAGCAAAACAAAGCAAGCTCACGGTGGATCACAACGTCACCACACAATCCGAGCACAAGTGCAAGGCCACAAGGCCAGTTCACATGCAGGAGTACATATATATATAAGACTAAACAAGCAAGAGCAGTGATATCTA